GCCTCTTTCTGGAAGACAGGCTATTCGAAGGCCCGCAGTCCAGGGCTGTAATCGCAAAACAAGGTGAGATGGGCGGGCTTAGCAGTGAAAAATTGCTTAACCTTCCCTCAATACTGTGTTTTTATGATCTGTCCAAAACAAGTCCAGAAGAATTGTCAGGGTATACAGAGCAAACATGAGACTACATAGCAAACCTAGACGATACAAACCAAGGAATCGCACTTAATAAAGCATAAACAAACAGCGTGCACCAAACCGTGTTTCTCTCCGGATTTGGCCCACTTCCTTCCCAAAGCTGGGTGGGAGGGACGGGGGGGGGGGCTTGAGGCCCTCGGCTGAAACTGCACCTTTGCTGCGGTCTTCTCGTTTTATGCTTGTGTAAAAACCCAAGCTGGCGTTGTTATGTTGAGAACAAGTGACTTTCAATATAGTACCAGGTGCTGGTTAGACGGCATTGTCACGCAAACCTTTGCATATGTGTGTGTGTGTGTGTGTGTGGTGTGTGTTGTGGTGTGTGTGTGTGTGTGTTGTGTGTGTGTGGTTGTGTGTGTTTGTGTGTGTGTGTGGTGTTGTGTGTGTGTGTGTGTGTTGTGTGTGTGTGTGGTGTGTGTGTGTGTTGTGTGTTGTGGTGTGGGTGTGGTGTGTGTGTGTGTGTGTGTGTGTGTGTGTGTGGTGTGTGTGTGTGTGTGTGTGGTGTTGTGTGTGTGTGTGTGTGTGTGTGTGTGTGTGTGTGTGTGGGTGTGTGTGGTGTGTGTGTGGGGTGTGTGTGGTGTGTGTGTGTGTGTGTGTGTGTGTGTGTGTGTTGTGTGTGTGTGTGGGTGTGTGTGTGTGTGTGTGGTGTGTGGTGTGTGTGTGTGTGTGTGTGTGTGTGTGTGTGGTGTGTGTGTGTGTTGTGTGGGTGTGTGTGTGTTGTGTGTGGGGTGTGTGTGTGTGGTGTGTGTGTGTTTGTGTGTGGGTGTGTGTGTGTGTGTGTGTGTGTGTGTGGTGTGTGTGTGTGTTGTTGTGTGGTGTGTGTGTGTGTGTGTGTGTGTGTGTGTGTGTGTGTGTGTGTGGGTGTGTGTGTTTGTGTGTGTGTGTGTGTGTGTGTGTGTGTGGTGTGTGTGTGGTGTGTTGTGTGTGTGTGTGTGTGTGTGGTGTGGTGTGTGTGTGTGTGTGTGTGGTGTGTGTGTGTGTGTGTGTTGTGGTGTGTGTGGTGTGGTGTGTGGGGTGTGTGTGGTGTGTGTATGGTACATGTATAAACATAATAATGCTCAATAAAACGATCAGTCCTTTTCATAGCGCTTCGGCAACACAGGATAGAACTAACTGCGCTAGCTTTTCAGGCATCCACGGTGCGCTTCAGCCGATTACGTACGCAGTTCAGTGGTCAAATGATTGGGATGCGTATATATCGTATCTCATATTGTCTAAATATATTGGGGTGCAGGTATATTAGGTATTATACTTCCCTAATATATTCATATTTTCCGTTCCTTCAGCCGTGCCTGAGTGGCTCAGACATCCGATTCCTGCATGTGGTACGTAGCTGGGTTTGAGTCTCCGACGCTGCTGACCGATCCGGCTGATGCCAGTTGGCGAGAGGCGCAGGGGTCTCCACGGCGTTTTTAACAGCGTGACCGTGCCAAAGCAATAAATGACACGTAAAATGTTCCCTCGGGCAGGTATGGACAGAATTATCTCGTAATCGGTGAGCCAGCAGTCTCAAACAGTTACCTACAGCGACCATTCAGACTTAACTGAAAAGTCCAATACAGTTTCGAAAAACATCGACATGTTTTTCACGGCTCAACACACAACACTCAAAGACAATGACAGAAGGCAATGACTTTCGTCCTCAAAAGGTTTGCTAGTTATTGGACCAACAAACTTGGCCGTTTATTGCAGTGTTCTTGTTGATACAGAGTGCGAAATAGTACAGGGAAAGTAGTGCATAAACAGACCGCCTGACACTTAAAACGATATATCTCAAACATGACGAATGATAACAACTACATATCGTTATGTCAGTACAAAGCCGACATTTTGTATATGCGATCATACGCAAAGAGGCATTGGGTGATCTCTGAACCGTTATAATACCCAAAAGGAGTTTTCCCGGATGCTTGCACAAAAACGTCATAGATCCCACCAGTGGGTCATAACGGGGTCTCCCCAACACACTCGTGCGCCGCAATCAAATGGGAGTGGGTCACGAAGCGTGATCCTCCCCAAATGGCCGACTATCCTAACACCAATGACCCAGATCCGTACTTGAGATCTTTCATCATCATATCTCTCTCCAAAGAAAGAGTATGTTTTTACAGCACTTCTTGAGCCAAGAGAAGCATAATCAAAGTTTTTAAAATCGGGACAATTTTTGTGTGTGAGGCGAGTGTGAGCCTCACTCTCAAGCCAACGCTTGGTATTCTCTTTTGTCTGCTATCGATACAAAGATGAAGTTGGAAATAGCCTCGGAAATACCAACATTGTTTCTCAGACTTTTAATAGGTCCTTGCCCACACAGCTCGCAGTGAAACACAGCTTTTGTTGATCAACATTACGTTGCCCCGGTACTTGACCTTAGAGAGGCTTCGGTTTGCACGATAGGAGCTCGAATAAAGCACCTGAGCGAAAGAAACAGCTGGAAACTTTTGAGGTAGGTAAACTTAAATACAAACCGACTCAATAAGTCACAGGATATCCAAAGCCTATTCAGCCTCAGATGTCTCAGGATCTTTTAATTCTGAGAACACATCTTGCGTGTGAAGTACAGATCACGCTCGTCCAGACCAGTGCATTCATCATGTGCACAGCTCCTACGCCAATTAAAACATGCCCATCCTTCATCCGACACCAACCCACCAAGCGACTCGTTACAGAACAGGCACCGCACACTATCTACTTCTCCATCATCTTCACTATCACCCTTGTCATCTTTCCTGCCTTGGCTTCCTTTTCAGTCGCTTCTCGTTATTCGTACCTTCATTCTTCGTACCTCAAATGGGCCTTTGTCGTTTTCTACTTGCTACTTCCGTCATTCTAGTTGTTGCAGGTCTTCCTTTTTTGTTGCTGTCACTGGGGTTCTTTCTGGGGCTCTCCCTTCCCTTTCTGCACGCTCTCCTGCAACTGATTCTTGTACCGTGCATTTGTTAGAATGGCCGTTCCTACTTGCTTACGACATGTTGTGGCCCCTTGTGCTGAAGTGCTTTCGGGGCGAGCAGTATATCAGCAGGGCTGAGCGTCATCGGTGGCACTGCAGGAGCTGGGGGAGGCGGTGAAGCGGGTGCATCGGTCGCCCAAGCGGCCGCCACTGACCAGGACGGCATCGGTGGCACTGCAGGAGCTGGGCGAGGTGGTGAAGCGGGTGCAGCGGTCGCCCAAGCGGCCGCCACTGACCAGGACGGCATCGGTGGCACTGCAGGAGCTGGGGAGGTGGTGAAGCAGGTGTAGCGGTCGCCCAAGCGGCCGCCGCTGACCAGGACGGCTTAATCGTCCCAGCCGTGGACACCTCCGCTGCTGCGGGCCCCTCCACTACCATCGCCATTTCAGCGACCCTTGATGCTTCTGTCGGCCCTATAGCTGTGGAGATATCTGCATTCCTAGACGTGGACGCGTCAGCAGCCAAGGGCAAGGATGTCTCCGAAACCGTAAGCGTTTTGCCTGTAGTGGGCGTGGCCGCCTTCAGCCACGTCTTGTCGTAGATTCTATCCCCTCGATAGATGGCCACGACTCGTCCAGGGCTCCGGTTGAGAAATTTGTACACGGCTTGTGAATAAAAGATGCTCAGATGTCACATGAACGTGCCGTCAAGCGGTTGCAGACGGTGACTGGTGTGAGGTGATATGCTGATGCTGGCCACGGGGTTGTCTCGCGCGATGTCAATCAGTTCGAGGCTCCTGGTGCCCAGATAGCCATCCATGACAAGCAAAACTGGATCGCCTGATGAAGGCTTAACATGCTTAAGAAAATGTTTGAACCATGTCTTTAATATGGCGCATTGCATCCATCCGAAGTGACGGTACTCGCAGATTGTTCCGGCTGGTGCGCCGTCCTCCAGATGTTTGTCCCACAAGTTCATGGGACAACGTCATCGGTGTAACAAAACTGCCTCCCACGGACATGCGCACAACCACCGTGGTAAGCTGCACAGCTCTGCCGAGGGTGCACTCCCAATCTGCTTTTTCTCTTTTTGGGCCGGTGGTTTTGCCTTTACTCTTGTTGCGCCCGTTTCATCAGCATAGAATATTCTGTGCGGGTCGGCGATGCCATCATGTACCTATTCCAGCAGATCGAATAGCTTGTCAACGACAATCTTTTTAAGTCCACGGGCACGTGCTGCAGACGTGGCTTCTGGCGTACGGAGCAGATGGGTTTTTGTTCCTCGTCATGAAGCCGCTCAATAAATCCTTCCCGGCCATGCCCGCTTTGACCTTGTGTGGTATGAGTATTTCAGCATGCTGGTATGCCAAGCTCGTTTGAGGGCATTAAGCCGTAGAACATACTCTTTAGAAGCAGTATGTCACTTTTAATTCATTTTCTTACTATGGTGTGTATACTCTCTTTTTGGGCTCCAAGCCACTTGGAGCGAACACTTGTCAGAAGGGCGACGTTGAAGTCGCGTGCTGGGTACTCCGTGCAAAGCAGCCGCCTGATTCACGCTGCTCCCTCGTGACGGATGTGGCAGCCGTGTGGATACTCTCCCTGCTCCATCTTTCTCGCGTCGTCTTTCCCTCATAACCGAGGCCATGGTGTTTGCAGCTAGGGAAAAACGAAGGACTAAGCAAGGCAATGAGACGGGGTTAAAAGGACAGTTGAATTTTAAACAGACAAGAGTCGGTAGCCGTCGTAACAAGCCTTTGGGGCTCGTCGGAGGGCATGGGGTTCGAAGAGGGAAGCGTCATGAATCCTTATGTGATATAAACACTGATCATGCGAGACATCATCGGCCAAAAGCTAACCTTTTTACACCTTACTATAGGTAAGAGGGGCTCTAGACAAGCCAGTGGAAAGTATTCACTTGGAAGGCAAATAGCGGTTTGTGAAGTTGACGGCGGTGACGCTAGTACTTTAGGCTGTAATGTGATGTCTTGCTTTTCTGCCCCAACCGTCTTGCCCCACTCTCCCCGCACATACTGTGCGGCACTCGCAGCACATGGTGCTGCAACCGTTTGCCCCGGCCGGACACGCGCACCTGGTGACCTCATGTCCCTAAAACGCGCACCTGGTGACCTCATGTCCCTGAAACCAGAGCTGTCCACGAAATGCCCCCCGCAAACTCGCTGTGTTCTGATCGTAACTGCTAGAGCCGGCAGCTATTGGCAGTCCCACCGAAGTACGTTGGAAGTACAACCACTCCATAACGTACTTTTCCTTCTAGCCCATAGACTTCACATGTTAAAGGCCTGCTCTGGGTAGAGTTGCAAATCGAGTGCTTTCTAAGCGGCTGAGAAACCGCATTGAAACGGCTGAGGACCAAATTGTCGACGTACGAGCTATCCTAAAAGGCGAAAAGGGAATGAACAACACTGATCATTCAATCGAACAACACGCAGAATGTAGCCACGCAATATAGCCTATGCTTGGCTCAGTCATGCAACATAAGCTATGCTTGGTTTAGTCAAGCGCTGCTTGAAACGTTGAGTATTCTAGTATTTTGCAAAATTCTCAAAATGATAAATCGGTTAGGTAAGTAGCAACACTCAATAACTATTTTGCTAGAGTTTTTATGGCTTGCTGCATTGCTTGTCCATTATTGGCATCAATTCTTTGAATCACTAAACCAATGCGTTTTTAAATGAATTTGAATTGTTTGCATTACTCGTCTCCACGTATTGCTCATTTTAAAGTCCTCGCCCTGCAAAACGAGCAAATGCCTTTCAGTCCCGTCAACTCACTCTTCCAAAGTATTTTATCGATAGAACTGCGTTTGAAAAATGTGTGTAAAATAAGAGAAGTGGCGTAACGCTAGATACCAGATTAACCTTCGCTTCACATGTCCCTGACATAGTATGGACAGCCGATCACTTGGTCCCGTCATTCGGTCGTTCCAATTCAATACCAGCTGGTCGAAATTCAACCTAACCGCGGTGATGGCTGCGTATTTTGCAAAGGTGTTATCGGCTTCTGAATATTGTAGTGTCGGCTAGACGGGGCGACCAATTTCCCACGAAGTGCGGGTCGATCAAGTGCGGCACAAGTTTCTGATTTGATCACTTGCTTACACATTCCCGGGGCAAACAGCTCTCCTATCTTATGACAGCTTTCCGCCTCACTTTAAGATATCATCCCCAGCAGCACGAAGAGTGCAGTACAATTCTTCTGATTTAGAAACAACTTCTAAGGTAAACTGGACCCTCAAATCTTGCTCAGCTGGTTTCCTTTGCTTGCGCCGCCTCGGTCGGCCCGCACCCGAATTCTGCTCGCTGTACCTCGCGTTTGTTTGCAAACGGTACAGAGCGGTCTGTTTTGCAGACTGCCAAGCGTTGTAAACACTGTTTTAACGCGGATAGAAGGATATTCACGCAACACTAGCGCGGATATCCTCCATTACATTTTCGGTATTTTCAGAGTTCAAGGAAGTACGTATGTTTTAACTCTGTAGCATTCTCACTTAGCTTTGAGACATGTCGTCCATTATTAATGCCGATACTGCTGTGTGCTGTGTATTTATTGTTTGTCTAAACAACTTCGCCTGTCCTGGGAGCGCTTCTCTGTTGATACAGGAAGATACACAAATCAACAAATGGGTAAATTTTCCTTTTTAAGGCATTGCTGAATCTGTCTGTTACAGTTGCACATAATTTTTGTGTTATTGCATCACCAGTTCATGCCTCTGAGATATTAGACTTGACTCCGTCTCGTCCAGTAGCTCGAAGAACTAAAACTGCTCGAACATCCGACTGTAAGCAAGGTACTTGCTTGCAGAAACTATTCTGTTCAAAATTGCGCGTATTGTTCAGTGCATTGGCGAGGAACATTATTCACATAGATAAGAGAGTAGTATCAACCTTATTCCTCGGAGATAGCCGGGAGAATGAACATATAGCTGGGTTGATATTTCGGCAACATGCCTTTATCGAAACAATAGCTGAGGTCTCCAGCTATTGTTTTGATATTGGCACGTTGCTAACTTCGGTTAGTGGTTCGACAAAGACATGTTGCCGAAATATCAACCCAACTATTTCCCTCATTTTCCCGTTTTTTCTCCGAAGAATAAGGCTTATGCCACTCTCTTACTTGCAGAAACAGCCAAGAACTCATGGTCATTGAAGGATTGCCTCGTCTGTTCAGCCATAAAGTGAAATAACGGTAGTTTTACGACGGTTGCATACAACACCCGCATAAGCTGATTTTTTCCCGAATTGCTCGACTACACCAACCGTCTACGACATACCCGTCCAGACCTTAACGACTTTATCTTGAATTGAGCGTAAACGGATAGACAAAAGTACCAAGACTATATAAATAGACGGCAAGGAGCTTTACATGCTAGAGAAGCATGGGACTTGTCCAGAGATCTCTTCATTCGTCCGAGAACATAGTAGCATGAAATATTGTCATTTACGATACGAAAAATCGTCTGGTGTGGTTTGAGAAAGATGGCTGGTGAACTAGGTGAAGTGACAGGTACATTTTAAGCGGCACAAACTTAAACTAGACGCAAATTAGATATGACAGTGGGGTTCGGGATGGGGCATTTAACATTGGTGTCCCCTCACCTTAAAAAGAGGATGGCGGTTAGCCTTCTTGGCCCTGCTTAAACCCCCCACTCATGCGTATCAGTGCTAAATAAACGTTCGTTCGACGCAAATGCTGCTTGTTTAACAATACTTTCTGCGGCCAATTTATTATACGTCCTGCGGATAATGCACTCGAGTGCGGAAAATAACTCCTCTTTTCCCCTGGTGTGAGTTGTGTCGCAACTGCGACGTAAAATATTACTTTTTGTTAGCTTCCTTTATGTAAATATTTGAATATGTTACGAAAGCAACTTGACTAATAAATCAAGCTTCATATTTTAACAACCGCTGAGGATATGTAAGTCCATGGAATGTGGAGGCTTGTATTATTTATGTGCTTTTTTACACAACAGGTTCAACGATGTATGAAAAAGAGGCAACAAAATATGATATTTCTCGCGACATGTCGCAATTCTCACCAGTGCAGAGCGAACTCCTCCGCACTAGTGGGTAGTATCAGAACGAGGCATAACAAATCGACTGCTGCGATTATTGTCAGGCGGCAAGCAGCGCCTGCGCAGGTCGGTTAGACGGAACGTTCATTGACACGCGCTACACAATAATATAATTCATCCAGCACCCGTTTCAAGCATTGATTGAAATAATCATTATCTACAGTTTTCAGAGCTAATCTTGCAACCAATGGTCTTCGCCCACTCCAGAGGCAATCAGTTTCTCAAACAGTTGATAGGTGATATTC